TCAGATGACGGGCAGAAAGCTATGTGCTGAGCAGGTTTTTGTCACCCAGGGATGTGTCTCCTTTTTCCCCACTCTGCTCAGAACATTGCCGTTGACCATGACCGCAGGGGCTGGTCCCTGCTGGTCTGTGGACAGACACACCACTTCGCTCTAAGTTGAACCTCACGGCAGCATAGGTGCTCTGTGCGTGAAACTAGTGAATAAGGAGGGGCACCATACATTCTGACATGATCGGAAGCTCCCCGATATTCTAGGTTCTTTACTCAGCAGTTAATATCTTAACAGTTGGCATACAGCCTCTTTTTAGAATTTAGAATGCTGGCAAGGGGAGGCGACTAACCTTGCTCAGGGAGGGAACACAACTTGAAGAATTCTCCGCTGGGCTGTTCCCTTGGCCCCTGGGGACTGCGCTGAGCGGCTGAGCCTTCTGCGTCCCTGGCTGAGTCTGGGCCTCCGGCTGTGGCTCTGTGGCTGACACCCTGGGTTTCTGACCCCTAGCAGGGGAACAACTGCCCAGACCCACCTGCCTTGGTGGTGACAAATGTGTGGAGTAGATTCCAGGGCTGGACGGGGCCGCTGAGTCAAGCTCGGCCCAGACAGTCTGCTGTCATTGAGCACGCACCCAACAGCTCACGGTGCTCACAGCCAAACCCGCACCCTGGCACCCCCACGCCACTGCCTGCCGAGGCCCACGTTCAGCCTTAGGTGCTGCTGGCCCTCCAGGATTTGAACCTCTGTTCACATTTCACAGCCAAGGAAGCAGGTCCATGGTCCCCAAGCAGCCAGGGGCAGCAAGGACTCGAGCCTGAGCCTATTCCCATGGTACCAATGTGGCTTCTCCCATTGGAGGTGGTGAGCTCCCCGTCCTTGCAGGTGTTCAGGTGTGTCAGGGAAACTGTAGAGGGGACGTGGGGATCCTTCATAGCTCCTTCCAGACCGGAGCTTTCCTAGCCCTGCAGGAGGCGGCACCAATCCCTGCACCCTCCCCAGCTGCTGGGCAGATGACACCTCATTCGGAATCCCTGTCTGCAGCCTTGCTGCTCGCTGTGTCCCAGCTGCCTCCGTTGCGCCATCCACCTGGCACAGGTGGCAGGGCCTGGTCCCCAGCCAGGGTCATGGTCCCTGAACTGGGGCTGGGGAGCCCAGACCAGCACACAGCACCTGTCACCAACTGGGGAGACGCTGAGGGGGCATCGGCACAGACAGGTGGCCCATCTCTGTCCCCGGCCTGGGAGTGGAGAGCCGGAGGCAGCAGTGCAGCGGCTGTGCCCTGGAAGCCAGTGGTGTTCACAGCCCACGGGAGCAGGCAGAGTGGTCTGGCCTTGTTCCTGGGCTGCGAGGCTTTGGCGCCATGGCTTAGCCTCTCTGGGTCTCCACCTCAGGGACTCCTGCACAGAGTGGCTGGCACTGCTGCCTCTCTGTGGCACGGGGTTGGGGCACACGGGACAGCGGAGTATACAGGCTGGATCTGGGCACTAACTCTGTGTCCCTGAGCATACAGCTTCTCCTCCCTCAGCCTCAGTTTCCCCAGCTGTAAAGTGGTGGCAGGACCCCCCTCCCATGGTGGGTCATGGTGGCAGGTGCACGCCACACCACTTGTGCTGGTACGTGGCCCCTGCCCTGCCCTGGCTCCCTTCTGAGACTCTACAGGCTGGTCCTCGGGATGTGGCCACCCGGTTCCTGGACCCTAGGGTCCCCAGTCACAGACACCTGCCCCTTCTCCTGCTGCTCCCCCTCGGATGGCCCATAGTGAGCTCCGAGGAAGCCCGGCAGCTGGAGCAGGGTGAAGGGACCTGCCCTCACTAGCCAAGCTCCCTTAGCCTTAGATAACAGGTGTGGGCTGCAGAGGGGTGCCGGGGGGTGACTTCGCCTTTATTCTAGAGAGGAAACCTGAGGTTTGCTGCAGGTGGGATCTTAACAGCTCACAGTGTGCCTGTGGACCTGTGGTATGAGAAGCCCTGGGCCCAGGGCTGCAGCCCTGCAGGACTTCACCGTGCCTTTGCCAGGCAGCCGTGTACCGGAGAGGCTTTGGGTCCCTTCCCGGCTCCCATCTCTGGCACCTCTCTGGCCACGCACCTGACAGAGGTTTGTGTGTGCCCCTGGCACAGTCAGAGCCTGGGAAGAGGGGACAGCTCAGGGGCCCTTGCCCATGCTGCCCCAAGTGGCCCTTTAGCTTGGATCCAGTGTATGAGGAGCTGGCTCCTCTTGGAAGACCCTGGGTGCTTGCCTGACCTGCCTTAGAGCCCAGACTCTGTCTCACCCACGCGTTAACTTAGCTAGCAGTCATGGGGCAGCAGTGTGGACCATGCTGGGACCCACGGCACAAGTGATGAGGGAGTCGGACAAGACAACTAATGCTGAGAAAGCAAGAAAGTCATACCTAACACTAAACACAGGTGTTGGTGCCCTGAGGGTAATAAAGCATGTGACAGGGAAGACCATGATGAATACAGAAGACAGTTTTGATTGGGCAGTCATGGAAGGGGTGAGGACATTTAAGACCTGAGAAGAGGCCAGTTGGGGGAAGGATCCTAGAGAGAAAGTGCTATATTGTTCAGAAAGTGTGTGCAAAGGCCCTGAGGTCTCCTGGGCAGAGGAGTCTAGAGTGGCTGAACTGCAAGGTAGTGAAGGGCAGCAGGAAGTGTGAGACAGGTGTGATTACTAGCTTGTGATTTGGGGGGCCACGCTGCTCCTCAGCACCGGCATCTGACATAAGAGGATGCTCCCCATCTCTGTGTCTGCTCCACTCTGATCAGCAGCAGTGTTATTGGAGCTGAGTGAGAAGGTGCATGGTGGGTCTCTGGGCTGCAAGGAACGGTCACAGGAATTTTCCTCGTTGGAAGTGGGTAGGACGTTTAGGGGCTGCAGGTGGGACAGGAAATGCCAGTGCCTGTTCCTCTGAGAGTCACTGCAGACCGTAAGCGCCCAGCGTGTGGAAGGCCGGGTGCCCTCCCCCTGGACGTCCAGTCCCGCAGCCCCCGCCAGCCCCTTTGAGGCACAGGCTCCTTTCATGGCTCGCGGCTGCCTTCTCGGTCCAGCAGGCCTGGAACCCTTTCTGGCCGGCGAAGCTCCCGCCGCCCCCCAGGACAGTAGCTCCTTTCTTTGCTTTCTTTTCCTCTTCCTCCAGGCCTAAAATAGTGCCTGAATGGGCCCAGCTCTGGCGGCAGCGAGACAATAGCCGCGTCCTGGCCCTGGGCCACTGCGGCGGGTGGGGGAGGTGCGGAGGCTGTGTGCCCAGGGCTGCTGGGCCCCCAGCCTGGGGTGTGATCACCCGTGGGCCCCCACTTGTCTCTGGCAAAGTGCTTGCTGCTGCCGGGCTGAGACCCCCGCATCCTCTGCAGCCTGAGCAGCCCCGCCCAGTCCTCCTGCCCTGCTCTGGTCTGCAGCTGCAGGCCGCGGTGGGCCCCACACCAGTTTTCTTCTGTGCATCTGGAACACAGAGGCCGTCACACCGTTTAGGGGGGTCTTTTCCCTTTGACTCAGTGGGTATGAGGGACTCTCAGAGGTCAAAAGGAGGCATCCTCTTGCGAGGCAGGAAGTGAGCTCCCCATCACTGGAGGTGATCAAGTGAAGTTTGGGTGTGCACTGGAGGCTGGGGGAGGGGATAAGCAAGCATCAGATGGGCACTGGGTCTGGGTATCTTCTTGTCTCAGAGGAGATCTCGCTTCGAGCTCCATGTCCCTCGCTTACCTGTGAGGAAGCATTAGACATCCCAAGCCTCCATTTCCCCATCTGTAAGATGAACTCAACAGCCTCACCTTGCAGAGTAGTGGACACAGATCCCCAAAATGCCCAGGGAGGGCTGGCGCACAGTGAAGCTTTCAGAAACTTTGCCTCTGTTCTCCCCTCTGACCGGAAAAGGGGGTCAGACCCACTGCTGGCTGCCGGGAGCTCTAGAGGACAGCCAGGAGGAACCCCCAGGCCCAGCCAATTCAGAGGGAGATTCTTGGTGAGCTATGCAATCCAGGAGGGCATCCTGGAGGAGGTGAGCCCTAAGAAGTTTTCAGGGTAGTGTGGGGCACATTCTGGGCTCATAGAAGCCAGTGGCTGGGGCTAGAGGATGTCTATCTTGGTTTAAGACAAGGCTACAGGCTGGCAGCCGCTAGGGGTCAACTCCAGCTTCTACTGGGCTTAATCTGATCATACGAGTGTCCCCTATGGGTTCTAAAATACGTAGTTTAAAGTCATTGTTGGCAAACTCAAAGATTTCATGTAAAAAGCTGAGGTTCTGCTTCTCTTGGGAACTGGGAAGCCCTGGCTCTTAGACGTCCCCCGAAAACAGGCGGGAGTCCCCAGTGCTTAGGTACTGGACAAGTCAGGGAGCCCGCGCTCCGCTGCTGGATCTGAGCGGGTAGTGACGTGCTCTCTGCAGCTGCCAACAGTTGCCAGGGTAACGGTTGCCAGGGGCTGCTGTCACCTGCGCCCCTTCTCCCCCGCTGGCGCGCTAGAGGCTGGGGCTTCCCAGCCTATCTCTGGCTGCCCCCTTTGTTTGAGGCTCTGGGTAAGTGCACGGCTGAGGTGGCCCCACTTCCCCTTCTCCCCCGGCTTCTTGAATTTGGGCAAACAGGGCCATCGCAGACAAGGAGACCCTGCTAAGCAGTCCTGCTCTGGGGTGTGCGGTCCGCGCCTGCCTGGAGGAGGGATCCAGGTAGGACTCTCCCCTCCCCAGCCGCTCCCTCCTGGTTCCCGCCTTCCTTCCATCTCTCCCTCCTCCTCAGCCCCTTCCCCTCGTTCTTTATTCCCTCCCTCCTCCTCTCCCCTCACCCCCTTCTCCCCAACACTGACAGTGTAGCTAATGGATGGAGCAGGGGTGAAGCTGGGGTGGCACGGGGACCCTCAGGGAGCCATAGACGGTTCTGTGAGAGGACTTGATCAATTAGATGACGGCCTGAGAACTAGTATAAGGAAGTGGTTGGGGGTGAGGCTTTACACCCTCTCCTCCCTCCCACAAAGCCCTGGCAGTAAAGATCCTTTCTGGCCCCTGGGCTACTAAGATAACCCACCAAGAAGTGGGAGGAGCTGGCCAGGGCCACTGAGGGGCCTTCGAGGGCTGTGGGAAGGCGCTGTGTGGGGCAGGGCTCTGCCCCCCTGGAGCTGGGCTTTTGTGGGGACAGTGCCCAGCCTAACCCACGGAAACACCGTTCTACCGTGGCTCTTGATACGAAGCCCGTCCTCACAGGAGCAGGTGAGTTCCACCCAAGGGAAGCAGCCTTATTCCAGAGTGCGGATGGGCCCTGGCGTGGGCCTGGGTCCCCGTCCACCCTTCACCGCTCACTGACTGTGGGACCTCGGCCCTACCTTGGCCTCTGGGCCTCACTGTCATTTGTTTGGTGAGCATAATGGTGTCTTCTAGGTTTTTAAGAGGATTAAATGTGTTAATGTGCATAAAGAGCTGTGCGTCCTGAGTTTTCAGCACTGCATGGATGTCCGGGGCTGTGTCCTGCAGGCGGTGAGCTCCAGTTTTGGGGTCTCCCGCAAGTGGAAGCCCAGAGAGCCCCTTTGTGCCAGGGATGCCATGGTGTGTGCTCGGTGAGGAGCTGCAGGGTCTCTGCTCCCTGCCTCCACTTCCCTTCCCCAGAGCGGGTGCAGGCATAGTGGGGCCCCGGCCCCGGCCTTACTTGGGAAGGTGGGTGGCTCCTGGCTTTGTGTCCTGCCCGTCCTTGAGCCCGGGGCCTGGCATGTGGAGGAGGAGAGGAAGGGGGGCAGCTGGCAGCCTGGGGAACCCGAAGGCTTCTACACCCCAGAGACGGGCGCTGTGCCCGCCGAGGGGAGCTGCAGGGAGGCAGCTGGCCGTGTGGCTGGCCTTGAGGAAGGGGAACCGCAGCCAGAGGGCGGGGCCTCGAGACAGTCCGGCGAGGGTGGAGGAGCCGCTCAGCATCCTCTTTGCCTCTGGCCCTGCCCTCACCTGTGGGCACCTCAAAGCCTGCTCAGTTTCCCCGGGGCCCAAGAGGAGCCCTGGCTACAGGGACCATAGTTGCCCACTTGACTAACAGGGACACTGAAGCCCAAGGAAGGGCCAGGCTGGCCCAAAGGTCCCAGAGCCACTGGCCACAAGGCTAGTGTGGACCGTGCAGCCGAACTCCTGTCACTGGCTGCAGGAGGTGCGCTCACTGGCGGGTACTGGCTCTGTATGCCTGTGGCCGGGAGGTGCCCACAGCTGCTCCTTGAATGGTGCCAGGTCTCAGAGACTTGGCCACAGCCCTGCCTGGCTCTGCAGTGCCCAGGAGCACATGGCTGATCAGGCTCATGCCAGATGGCTAGAGAAGACCCTGTGCCCAAGCCCTGCCCAGATGGGGCTAATTCTGGGGCACTAGCTCCGGACCTCTGGGCTGGGTGTCCTAATCCCCTCTCCTCTCTTGGGTTCCAACTCTGATCCGTTCTGAAATTCTGAGAGGCCTTGATTCTCAGCAGCTCAGAGCCCTTGCTCCCTCATTTTCTCTCTCTCCCCCACCCCAACATTCTGAGTGTGTTCACTGCTTGAGGCCCAGCTGGCCATGGCTGGCTTTAATGGCACGGGCCAACTGGAGATGGGCCTGGCACTGCCCCTTTCCTGGTGAGCTGGTACTGCAGTGGAGGGAGCAGGATGGGCCTGAGTGTGGCCCAAGTGCCCTGGGGACCTCTCGCCTGCAAGTGTCAGAGGTGGTGATGAGTGGCCCCAGGGACCACTGTAGCCTAACTGGCTCCTGCAGTCCATCTCCTGCTGGCTAATGGCCTTGGGGACAGCTCAGAGGGGAGGGAAGGAGTGGTGGCAGGCTGCTGTCCATATGGCATCAAGATTCCTGAGAGCGATAACAGGTGTCCATGCTGAAAAAACCTCACCATCACCTTGCCCTGGGAAACTGGGCTTAGCTAAGCTTTGTACAGAGCCTGCCTGCAGGACTTATCAGAGCCTTTCCCTTGTGAAGCACAAGAGAAAGAAGGGCCCAAAGCATTTCTCTAATTGGAGGACTAGTGCTCCCTCGCAATGCTTTGGCAAGTTACCTTGTGTTAAGGCCCAGTCAGGGGAGAAGATTCTGTGGAACACAGTGGCCGAACACATAGACGGGCTTGGGCTGAGTCGTAGATTCGCTCTGTACTTGCTCTGTGGTCTTGACCGTGATCTAACCTCTCCGGGCTTCAACCTTCTCATCTTTGAAAGGGCATCACTTCAGAGTCATTGTGAGGACCACATGACTCACGGCACCTGCTCCAGACGGTTCTGGTGTAGGCAGTGGCCCGCCTGGGGCCAGACTCTTTCTGTGCTTGCAAGAGGGAGCAGGGACCCCTCTGCTCTGGATCCCGCTCAGATCCACACACCATCCATGTCCTCCGTCACCCTGGGGCTGGGGAGACGTGGCGGCCCGGCCCCTGGGCACTGGGATCCTCACGGATGTGTCACAGGTCAGCGCTGCAGGGCAGAGGACCACACTGTGCAAAGGGTTGTCGGGGGGAGCACCGGAGGCCGGGCCCCTCGCCGGCGTCTCTGGGGCATCAGCCCACTCAGGGGTCCGGATGAAGGAGGCTGCAGGGAGGGGCCCGGAGGACTTGCTCTTGGGAAGGACTCGGGTCCCTCCCCATGCACAGGCCCCTTCCTCTCCCCTTCTCCACCTCCCCGAGGGCCAGGACCACCTGGGTATGCAGAGGGAGGCGTGGTCCCAGGGACTTGGCTTGTGGAGGGCGGTGGGGCCGGCAGGGCGGCCCTGCAGCAGGGCTGGTGGAAGGATGGGAAGCTGCCTTGGCAGGGAGCAGGCAAGGCCTGGCAGCGCCAGCCTCTGGTTGCAGGCTCTAGCTTGAATTTTATTACCCTTTACAGAAAAATTCCTGAAACCTGAGGTCACTGTGCTGCCCGTGGCCCTGGAGCAGCCTTCCCGGTGAGGGGCAGGGGCTCCTGGTGCATCAGCCAGCCGCTGTGTGGAGGGGCTGAGGGAGGAGAAGGCTCACGTCTGCAAGCTGTGCTCCCGGAGTGATGGGGCACAGCCGAGGGGCTGGGGCTGGGCCAGGTGAGGATGTGGCCCTGGTCTCACCTGGATCTGGCCGGGCATCTCCTGGGAGCTGGCAGGGATGTGGGGTCTGCAAGCACGGTTTAGTCTGCAGCGGCTGCAGGGGTGGGGGTGGGGGCGGGGGAGTCTGCTGGCCCCGCCCTCCCCAGAAACACCCGCCCCACCCTGGCTTCTGACTTTTGTGGGCGCCACGTTTCTGTTGTCCTGTGTGAAGCCAACCTGTCCCCACTGCCAGCCTCCTTTTGCATTGCCTCCTCGCCCCCATAACTGTGTGCACTCGTGCAAACACACACCCCCACACCACACACACACACACACACACACACACACACACGCACACAGGCTGTGCCTGCACGCCTCCTGCACTCTGCAGGTGCCACCCTCTCCCAACCACATCTTCCCTTCCCAAGCCCTCTGCTGGGCTCCAGGTGGGTGGGGGGCGGCCCTATATTGAGGACAGCTGAGGCAGGCTGTGCAGCCGGAAGCAGAGCTGGGCCCCTTCTCTGGCTCCCCCTACCCCGTGAGGGCTGTTGGCAGGGGCCTAGGCAGGCAAGCCTGGGCTCGTAGGAGACTCCAGGGCTCCCTCCTTCCTGCTTGCTCCCGTCCTGCACCCCCCTGCTTCTCTCCCGCTGTCCCATAGGCGCCCTCCCAGCACCCATGCCCTGCTAAATGCTGGGCAAACCAGAGTGACATGCCCCTGTCATAGCTCGGGAACAGGCACCCTCTAGCTCCCAGTCCAGGCTCTGCCTCTGGCTACAGAGTGTCCTGGGGCAAGTCCCTTCCCCTCATTGACTTTCTCTACAACGGGGCTCCTGGTGTTTCTCCCAGCTGTAGCATGGTCCTCAAGCCTGTGCCGTGTCAATCAATGGGACACTTGCTAAAGCCAGGGTCCTGAGACCTGGTGTATGGGGCCTGCAAATTGGCACCTTTACACAGTCCCTGGGGCCATGGCGGCACTGCTGGTGGCGCACTGGCAGCAGTGGGGACATGCGGTGTTGTGGGTGGCCATGAGCCAGCAGAGGACAGGTCAGTTCTGATGCAGGATGGCAGTGGGGTGGAGCTTCGCGGAGTTTGTGTCTCATCTCACAGCTGAGCTGGAATGTTTCCGGGAGAGAAGGTGTTCCCGGCAAGGGAGCGGCATGAGTAAGGGTCTAGGGGTGACCTGCATCCAGTCAGGCCTGACTTGGGGATACAGTGCAAAGGGAAGGAAGGCGCAGCAGAGGCGCCGGCCTTGGGAGGGGTTAACCCAGCATGCAAGTCCCGTCCGCCCAACTTCCACCTCCATCCTCCGAGGAAATGGGTTTTCCAGGAGCTTGGGCTGAGCCAGTGGTGACTGGTGGCTCCACACAGGGTGGCAGAGGAAGTGACTCAGGCCCCAGGGGAGAAAGTGAGCCCTGCGTCCCCTGCATGGTGGGCAGGGCTGAGGTGGAGCCCCTTCTCCTGGGCAGCCAGCCTTGGGTGGCCATGGAGTATCTTGGCTCAGGAGGGTCCCGGTCACCCTCTGCCCTGCTGGACCCTCGAGGACCCAGGGATGGTGGCTCCCGTTGTGTCAGCCTGGATCAGCTTGTTCTGTTCTCTGTGTTTACGGAAGGCCGGAGGTCAAGGTCCGCTGTTCGGGAAGGGGAACCTGGGGCAGGCTCAGTGCAGCCTCCTTCCAGGGCAGAATTGCTTGTGCTGCCTGTGGCCCTCACTGCCCCTCTCTTTTCTCCACCCCAAAGCCCAGGGCGGGGTGAGCATATCTCTGAGACCTTCACCAACACCACCAGCCTAGCAGTGGGAGGGGCTGAGCCCCAGCCCCAGGGGACCTGGGAACAGAGAGCCCCTCCCTGGCCTCAGTTAAGGGTTTTGCAAAATGGTGAACTTGTCAGATCTGCCTGGTGGGCAACCTTGAAGATTTCGTGTTATACTATAGACGTCGCTGCTGCTGCTGCCGTAATCACCTGGGTGTTGCTGCTAACCCCACCCCTCTGAGACTCCCTGGGCTCCAGCCAGCACTGCAGGAGGTGGACAAGGGCCTTGCTGTCACCTGGCACTTAGGCCTAGGGTTCCTGCGGCTGGGGCCAGCCAGTGCTGCCCTTCCTCACGAAAGCCAAAGACAGGTCCCTGGGCCTGGAGGGTGCTGGGGTTCAGTCTCCAGAACGTGGGTTCCTTCTTCCTGGCTAGACTAGGTGATGACAGTGCCCTACTCTGGCTGGTCTGGGTCTCGCGTTCTGTCCTGGTCCCCAGCACAGCCCTTGTTCCCAAGGGCTGCGGGGCTCCGCAGACATTCAAGCCGGCTGCAGGGAGGGAAGTTTCTAGGTAGGGTTCCAGCCCCACTTCATGTACCGGAAAGGAGGCTTCATGCTCCAGGAATTTCCCCTGGAGGCTTTGGAGGCTGAGTGGGGCCACCTGGGGAGGATGGGGCCAGGAGGCGGGGGAGGTGGAGGTGATACAAGCAACAGGCCTGGGGGCCGGGCCAGGGCACGGCTGGTCAGAAAGGACACGGAGCTATTAGCTGCCCCCATGGACATCAATTAACTTAATTCCCACGATTTAAGTTCTTTACAGTTGAGAAAAGGGAGGCTCAGAGACAGTGAATGATTAGCCCAAGGACACACAGCTAATAAATGTGGGAGTTGGGATTTGAAGGCAGGCAGCCTGGATCTGGAATCCACTCCATTAAAGGGATCCAGGCCACCCTTTCTCCTTGAGCCCCAGGAATGCTGATGGGGATAGACTCGTCCTCTTTGAGTGGCTGTCAAAGAGCCTGGGGGGGTACAGAGTGGGCCAGGAAGGGTCAGGGCTGTGAGCCCCTGTTTGTGTCTGAACCCCTTCCCTGGCATTGTGGGGTTGCAGGCTTGCTTGCGCCCCTCCAGTGACAGGGAGCTCACTCCTTCCCCTGCCTCTTTTGCCTCAGGGGCCTGTCCCGGAGTGGCTGCTGCAAGGCAGGCAGTTCTGTCCTGTCCAGGGGCCTTGTTGACCATCATGGTGGCTTGCTTTGAAGGTCCATGGCCAGAGGGACACAGGAGCTCCAGGCAGCTCCACCCCTGCTTGCTGTGTGACCCCAGGAAGCCACTGGTCTTTTTTGGGGCTCCGATTCCAACATCTCAAAGTGGAGAGTTTGGACCAAATCCTCAATGTGATTTGTACACTTCCGGTTCACAAGTAAAAAGCAATGGTCACATGAGGGGCCTTTCCGGAAGAGGTCACATTTGGCCGGGGTGGGCACAGCGACAGGAGTTGGCAGGAAGGAGAAGGAAGGGGGCTCTGGGAGGGACACCCCTGTCCCCCGATGCTGGGTTCCCTCTGTGGGGCTGAGGCAGTTGGAAAAGGAACCCAGCGCTCAGAGAGGGCTCAGAGGGAACCCTCAGGGTCACAACCCCAGGCCAGCAGCCCTTCCCCACAATGCTCTCACATCCTCCTCAGGAGCTCCCCGAGCTCCAGGCAGGATGGTGAGACCACGAGACCTGCGAGACTGGGGTTGCATTCCTCCACTGGGACCTAGGGGACCGGCTTTGCTCAAAGGGGCCAAGTCGGCTTGAGGGAGACCCAGCCCAAGAAAGAGATAACAAGATCCTGCTTGGGCACCCTCTTCCTCTAACGGTGCTCTCAAATGTTCAGTCCTGCATTCCTCTTCCAGGGAGTCCTCTTTGATTTCTCCCATACCTAGACTCCTTGCTTGCACCTGCTTACCAGCTTTCCTTCCATTTGGTTGTGGCAGATGACTGCATCTGTCACTGCAGTCAGATGCAGCTCTCCGCAGGACGAGGTTGGCTGGCTGGGTCTATCAGCACTCAGCTTGGTCACCAGGCCAGCTGGTGGTAGGGAGGGACAACCACCTGGCTTCTCTGTGGGCACCAAGCACTGTGGTCCTGCCCAGGCAGGGAAAGGTGGCCTGTACAGCATTCTAGGACAAGCCATTTAACCCCTCCGGCCTCATGTTCCCCATCTGTGCAATGGACCCTCCATGGTGCCCACCTCCCAGGGCTGGAGTGAGAGTGTATGCAGGTGGGGGTCAGCATGGAGGCTGCCGTGCAGTAGGTGCTCAGCTAACAGCGGTCGTGGGCAGTCAGGGTGGGAGTGAGGGTAACTGGGGCTCCTTCCCTGCTTTGAGCTACAGCAAGTCACTTTCTTAAGACAATCGCCAGTTCTGCTCTGCCTCGGCCCTGGCGACCGGCTCCCCCTGGTGGTCAGGACAGGAAGCGCCCTTCCCCTCTGGCCCCTATAGAGGGCGCCGTGGCCGAGCTGAGTCCACATTACTGTCCCTGCTGCACTGCCCGGTAGCCCAGGCTCCCAGCTAACGCCAAGGTCTCTTCCAGGCTGCGATGGCTGTCCAAGTGCCCCTGCACACGGCGCTGTCCCTGCTGAGTCTGCTCTTCCTGGCTCAAGGTAGGCCGTTCAGGGGCCCCCGGCGCAGTTGTTGGGAGTCACGTTCACCGCCCCGTGCCTAGGGCAGCTGCCCGCGCGTCCGCAAACCCCTTTGGGCAGGCATGGGTCTGCAGCGCAGTTTAGCTGCTGAGTGGCACCTTGAAGGAAAAAAAAGCTCTTCTTCTGGCAGATGCCGCCCCACAGAGCACGGAATGGGGAACATGGGCTGGATTTTGGCCCCGCTTATCTTTCCTGCTAGCATTTTTGAGCCTCATTAAACACTTTATTGCAATTAAATTCTTTTGGCCTTTAAAGTCATTATTTACTTTTCGTGCTCTCTTTCGTACTTGGAAGCCAGAAATTTTTGAGCAAGGCAGACTCACATTTTTGTAGACCCTTTGAAGTATAGACCTTTAAAATGCATGCATGCACATCCTCTGCACAGGTCTCGTCCCCTCCCAAACTCCTGGCTAGTCCCTGCCGCGGGGCCCCACCTGCAGCCTCTGCCTCCCCAGGTGCCCACGGCGGTGGCCCCCGGGAAGACTTCCGCTTCTGCGGGCAGCGGAACCAGACGCAGAAGAGCAGCCTCCGCTATGAGCGGACACCGGAGCGGCACATCGCCATCAGGAACTCGGAGGAGGTCCTCACCATCCGCGCCCCCTTCCCTGCGGCCCCAGAAGCATCCCGGCTCTTCCCGGACCCCAGGGGCCTCTACCACTTCTGCCTCTACTGGGACCGCCACGCGGGGAAGTTTCACCTTCGCTATGGCAGGCAGGACTACCTGCTGAGCGACCAGGCCTCTGGCCTGCTCTGCTTCCGGCACCAGGAGGAGAGCCAGGGCCGGGGACCCCCACTGCTGGCCACCTCCGTCAGGTCCTGGTGGAGCCCGAAGAACAGCAGCCTTCCCGGGGCCTCAGGCTTCACCTTCTCCTTCCATGGTAGGGCAGCTGCTGGGCAGAGGGCTGGAGCTGGGAAGGCAGGCGAAAGGCATGCTGGGAAGTGGCCTCTGGGCTGCAAGCCACAGGCTGGGCGTTGTTCACAGGCAGTGGGAGCCAGGGCGTGTGTCAGAGGAGGGGAGGAGTGGGGCCAAGGTGGGCTTCAGGAAGCTGCGAGGGGCACTGGGCGGAAGGTTGTGGGGCGGGACCTGTACAGAGGCCACGGGGAAGAAGAGAAGTGAGCAGGTGGGGGCGGGGAGGACAGAAAAAGGGAACCACTGGAGAGATTCTCAATCAGCACTTGCATGCAGTGCTTATCCCTGATATAACTTAGTGTCTCTGCGATGGACAGCGCCCCTGCAGTGATGGAGAAGGATGGGATGGAAATTAGGATAGGATTGCTTGCAAGTCCTGGGGCCTGTGCACCCAGAGGCCACACACCCACGCACAGGCACATGCACATGCACGCCCGCGTGCACACTCACATGAGGGAGCCTGTGGGGAGGGAGCACCCTGGGCCAGTGCTTTTACTGGAGCCCAGGGCAAGAGGCAGGTGGGCTCCCTGTGGGGTGCTTTGGTTGGTGGGGTGAAAGCAGCAGGCACGCGTTCCATGGGGTGCGGGGTGCTGAGAGGCTGTGGCTGCGGGCTGGGGCCTGGGGACCCCCAGGTAGGCTGTCTCCAGTGTCCCGTGGGAGATGAGGCACAGGTCTCAGCTACCACACTGAGGTCCTGCGGAGGCGCAGAGCTGGCCTGACCTTGGGCGTGGGAAAGTCCAATTGAATCCAAAATGATCACTGAGGCAGCAGAATCATAGATATTCACGGCAACCTCCGTGTCACCAAGGAGGAAAGTGAGGGAAAGCACAGGGAGGCTGCCCACAGGGGCACAGTGACGGGTGGAGGAGTCCCGACTTGGCTCCAGTGGCTGACTGGCATGGGTGTGGGGGAAGCAAGCTCAAAGGCCTAGAAGGCTGGAGGCCAGTGCTGAGCTCTGGGGCCGCACCTTCTGCCGGGGGCAGGCGTCGTGTGGCCTCTGCTGGGGCGCCTGAGGAGAGCGGCAGAGGCTTTGTGAGCTTCCCTGCGATGGTCGTTCTTGGACTGTGCTGATCCAGAGTCCCCGCGTGTGTGTTACATACCCAGCCTGTTATTTTATTTCGAGATAGGGTCTCACTAAGTTGCCCAGGCTGGGCTCTATAGGACCTAGTCCCTGTTTGGATGGCCTCACCTCTGAGTGGCCTGGGGGAGTCCCCACCAACTCTCAGAGCCTGGGTTTCCTCTTCTGTGAAGTGGGGTGAAGGCACAGAGGGTCTCGTGACTCATATGCCTCAGTCCCAGCCTCTGTCCCTCTGCAGACCCCCCTCAGAAGGCCTCCCCCAATGCCTCAGTGGACATGTGTGAGCTGAAGCGGGACCTGCAGCGGCTCAGCCAGCTCTTGAAGCTGCCGCACAAGGCCTCCCGCAGGCCGCCGGCCACCGTTGCCAGCCAGTGAGTGTGACCCTGGGGAGAGGGCCCGGCAGCGGGGGCTGGAAGGGTGTCTGGACTTCTTGTCTTTCGCCCCCGGGAGGGGGGCACACAGTCACCAGGCTGAGCCCTGAGCCCTCCTACATGAGTGAAGACCGACAGCACCTGGCTGGGCAGCCACCTAGGCTCTTTCCCCAAGCAAAGAGGAGCGAGTGGTCCATTCTGCGGCCAGGAGAGGGGGCGCCCAGAGACACAGGGGCAGCTCCATGGCTGCAGGGGGTCAGGGCAGGCAGACCCGGCCAGAACCAGGCGCTGAGTCCCGGGATAGCACCACCTCATCCTGTTCCTCCCCCATCCTGTTTGCTCTGAGGCCTGGCCACAGCACCCCTCTGGCCCCAGGTCCCTCTCCCCTCTGCTCCTATGTGTGGTTGGCTCTGTGTCCCTTTTGTCCCCTCCCCTCAGAGGCTCCGCCCCCTCTTTTGTCCCCTCCCTCTTTCCTGGGTGCCTGGCTGGCCCTTTCTGCCTCAGTCTCCCCACCATCACCCACCCCTCTGTCTTCCTTGCCAGGCACCTGCAGAGCCTGGAGTCAAAGCTGTCCTCGGTGAGGTTCCCGGGGGACGTGCTGTCCTTCGAGGAGGAACGGGTCAATGCCACAGTGTGGAAGCTGCAGCCCACGGCTGGCCTCCAGGACCTGCACATTCACTCCCGGGAGGAGGTTGGCTGGGCCGGGCTGGGAGGGAAGTGGGGGCTGGGAGTGCAGTGGCCCTCAGCGCAGTGACGCCCCCAGTCTGTCCCCAGGGCCCCAGGAAGATGGGTCCAGGGCCACCTCCGCACTGAAAACACGTCCTGGGCGCAGTGTGGTGGGGACAGAGGTGTCAGCTCCCGACCAGGGCTCCTAAGCACTCTGGTGTGGACAGAAGGCCAGTCCCTGTGCCTGGCCCTGCACCCCACCTCGAGACCGCCCTCCGGGGCACCCAACCAGATGGAGGCCGTGCGCATCTTCTGTTGACCCCGGGTCCCGTCACAAGGCCGCCTGGCCCTGGCCAGCGCTGAGGGAGCAGGAGGGAGGGCCCGTGAGGGTCAGCAGCATCTAGCCTGGGCTGTGTGTTTCGGGGCGGACGCGGCTCTGCGGTCAGCCGAACCTAAGGGGGCCCGGGTCTGCAGGAGGAGCAGAGTGAGGTGCTGGAGTACTCGGTGCTGCTGCCCCGCGTGCTCTTCCAGCAGACCAAAGGCCGGCGCGGGGAGGCCGAGAGGAGACTGCTTCTGGTGGACTTCAGCAGCCAAGCCCTGTTCCAGGTGCGAGGGCTCCCCCTCATGTCCGCCCTTCCTCCCCTCCCTGGGGATCAGGGTTTGTCTGACAGGAAGATGGGGAGAGGGCCTGCAGTCTGCCTCCCTTCTCCGGGAGCCACAGCCGGTCCTTGTCAAGTCAGAAATCAGATTGCAATGTGCAGACCTTCCTGGGAGAGGTCTTATCAGTGTTGTTCTCGCTACAGTGTGAATGACTTCACACGCACACACACACACACACACACACACACACACACACAGGTTGACTCTAAGGAGGAGGGGGGGTGTAAGGGCTGGTAATGGGGGCGTGAATATAATAAACATACATTATACGCATTGAACTTACCCCTCAAACATGTGAAATTCTGGGGGAAGGGAGGCATGGGGGGCACAGTGGAATGATGCTTTGTGCACATACAAATCTGCCAGGGCGAACCCCATGAGTCTGTGTAACCAGTGTGCACTCATTAAAAATGGGGGGAAAGAACTGGCTCCAGAGGGAGACTCAGCTCCCAGAGCAGTGCATTGGGAGGGGCTTCTCAGCCCTAACCCGCCCCCCATGCTCCCCCCAACCCTACAGGACAAGAATTCCAGCCAGGTCTTGGGTGAGAAGGTCCTGGGTATCGTCGTGCAGAACACCAGAGTGGCCGACCTCCCAGAGCCCGTGGTGCTCACCTTCCAGCACCAGCCGCAGCCAGTGCGTGCGCCGGGTCCCCCCGGGCCAGGTCCCCTCAGGGTGGCGGTCCTTGCCCCCCCCATGTTACCAATCCATCGCCGGTGGAGGGCACCAGCTGGGCAGGTCCAGCACGGGTGGTGGTAGCCTGTCTCTGTCCTGCGTGTCCTGTGGGGCCCAGGACGGGGTGAGCAGACCGTGGGGCCCACGTGCCCCCTCTCTTGTCCCCACAGAAGAACGTGACTCTGCAGTGCGTGTTCTGGGTTGAAGGCCCCACATGTGAGTGTGGGGGGCGCATGGGGCAAGAAGGATCTGGGGGAGATGTGGGGCCCTGGGGTGGGGAGATGGGGTGTACCAGGGAGGAGGCTGGGATCCGCTGGGAGGGGCAAAGGCTGGGAAGAGCGGCCCGGCCTGCACTGGGGGAAGGGCAGGTGGGGTCCTGGGCCCGGGGCTGACTGAGCCCTGTGATGACCCCCTCAGTGAGCAGCCCGGGCAGCTGGAGCAGCACTGGATGCGAGACCCACCGGAGAGAGACCCAGACATCCTGCCTGTGTGACCATCTAACCTACTTTGCAGTGCTGATGGTGCGTGACCCTGACTGCAGCACACCGCAGGTCCAGCTCTTGTCCTGTGCGGGCCACCTACCCCTCGGAGGGTGTGCATGCCTGTCCCATTGTATAGATGAAGAAATGCTAAAGCTCAGAGAGGCCAAGTAACTTACCCAAGGTCACACAGCTTGTTAACAAAAGAGCAGCTTAGGGAAGCCCTGGCTCTGTAGGCAGATTCTGTGAGGTGGAAAGGTGGGCTCCAGGGCTCTGAAGATCTTAAGGGGCTTCATGTCCCAAGTTCCTGTTCTCTAAGGCTGTTGAGCTTGGGATGTGTACTCCTCCTGGGAAATGCGTCCTGAGCATCATAGAGACATTCAGCTACTGCCCAATGTACCATGCGGTTGCACCCACCGCAACACACGCAGCAAGGTGAAAATGTCTCGGATCCACCTAAACCGCTGCCCAGCACAGGGGGAGTGGTTGCAGGGCTGCTCCTTGGGCTGTTCGGCCTGTGGCTCACAGCTGCCACCCTGCTCTTGCATCCGGGCAAGGCTGAGAAAATCCTAAGTGAATCATCATTAGCCAGGGGACATCTGTCATTGGTGCTGGGCCAGAACAGGGGTTCTCTGGGGAAGGGCTCCGGGTTTCACGGGCCACAGGCCCACCCCCCCCACCGAGAATGTGGGGAAGCCGTCAACCCCGTTAGAAACCTGTACTAGTGCCCTGCGGCTGCTCATCTGGGGGGACTTCCTGTTCCCATCCCTCCCAGGGTGGCCGTCAGCATGGAGCTGGCACTGAGGCACCCGCCTGTCCCGCAGGTCTCCTCCGTGGAGGTGGACACCGTGCACAAGCACTACCTCACCCTGCTGTCCTACGTGGGCTGCGTCATCTCTGCGTTGGCCTGCGTCCTTACCATTGCAGCCTACCTCTGCTCTAGGTAGGGTGGGGCAGGGCGGGGCGGGCAGGGTGGGGTGGAGAGCTTCCTGGGATTGGTGCTCCTGTTGGATCCCAAGATGAGGGGTGCTTGGGGAAGCCGGGATTCAGCTGCTGACCCCAGGGGGCTACGTTTGACCCACACATCTGCGGTTCTGGGGTAGAATCTCATTGACGCTTCTTAGTTCATGGCCAGCATTTCAATTGGGAGAGCTCACATAAGAATCTGTATTCCTGCCTTTGGGTGATCAGCTGTGAGATTGCAGCGTGCACATAATAGTGCAGTGATGATGGAAACGATGATAGTAAACACTTGCATCGAGCTTCCCACGCACTTTTCAAGGGTCATCTTGCTCCAGCCCCACAACTGGCCTATGCAGGAGGGCTCAGAGAGGGTAATTGGCTCGCCCAAGGTCACACAGCAAGCAAGTGGCCAAGCTTGTCAGATTGTTGGTGCTTTGCTTGGCCTGGATTGGGGTCTGCTTGCAGACAGGCCCTGGGCCTATTTGGGTAGCAGGGAGACACCCTTGGTTCTGGGAGACACCTAGGGTGTCCTCACTGTCCTCAGTCAGGAGGAGGGGAGAGCAGAACAACGTGCAGGTGTATATGGGCACATGTGTGCATGCATGATCTCGTCATGTGTGTCTGCAGATGTCTCCTCAAGGGCTAAGCTGCTATGGGCCTGGGAGAAGGCAGGGTGGGCGCAGAGACACAAAGGATCACAAACATGCCCAAGGACACAGGGACAGGAGCCATTAGGAGCTGATTCTCCCCTGTGCAGACCCTCAGCCCTACTCTATGAGAGGCCCCTCCTTCCCTTCACAGAGGAGTGGGTATAGCCTCTGAGCCCAAGGGAGCACCCCCAGGTGGTACCACAAGTTAGGGGCAGGAGGCGGCATCCAGGATGGTGAGGCTGGGGCCACCTAAAATCCCACAAGGGGGCTGAGCACACAGTGCCCTGCAAGCCCCCGGGATAGACGCACCCACCTACACGCCCAGACACACAGCCAGAGGAGCGGGCACAGGTTCTCCCATCCAGCCAACATGCTGGTCTTCGCATGCTGGCTTTGAAGGCCTGTGGTCCCAGCTGCCCGTCTTCCTCCTCTGCTGACTGTGTGTGGTGAACCTGCACCCTGTAATCTCTGCACTTTAGGAGGCCAAGGCAGGAGGACTGGGAGTCTGAGCCTAGCCTTAGCAACTCAAAGACTTAGCGGGACCCTAAATAAAAAATTTAAAAAGGGCTGGGGATGTAGCTTAGTGCAAAGGCCTTGGGTTTAATTCCCACTACTGCAAAGAACACGTTCTTTTGTCTGCAGGGAGAGGCACATTGTAGGGATAAGTGGGTATGGCCTGGCTGCAGCAGAGGGAAGGGGAGGGTGTGTGTGTGTGTGAGACAGAGAGACAGAGAGACACTGACCTACCTCCCCGCACTCACATCTGCAGGAGGAAGCCCCGAGACTACACCATCAAGGTGCACATGAACTTACTTCTGGCCGTCTTCCTGCTGGACGTGAGCTTCCTGCTCAGTGAGCCGGTGGCCCTGACGGGCTCCAGGGCGGCCTGCTGTGCCAGCGCTGTCTTCCTGCACTTCTCCCTGCTCGCCTGCCTCACCTGGATGGGCCTTGAGGGCTACAACCTCTATCGCCTCGTGGTGGAGGTCTTTGGCACCTACGTCCCTGGCTATGTGCTCAAGCTGAGTGCTGTGGGCTGGGGTGAGTGAGTGTGGGTAAGGGCTTCCCAGAACCGCCTCTCCCACTTATTTCTGGCTGAACACAGGCAGCCGGTTCCACTTTCCTCCTCCTAGGTTCCAAATTCCCTCATGCCTTCCCTCACCTGCCTGTTCTCTGGTCTTTCCCCTGGGCTTGGCCAAGGTCTCCTTTAGGAAGATAAAATGGTGAGCTCTGTCCCCAGGGAATTCTTTCAAATTCTCCACACTGTTCACTCTGTTAAAGGGGGCTTTGTGGGCAGGGCCTCCATGTACGCATGTGCAGGCTGTGCACGCCTCAAGGACATATGGTTGGGAGGTCTATGTGGCTGCAGTCAGGTCCTGCTCCACTCACCCAGGCTAGCAATGGCCCTGCCTGGAGATTCCCCTGGACCTTAGGTGCAGATTCTCTGTGGCTTCATCGCTTTGTTCTTGGCCAAGCATACTTCATCTGTGACCTAAACCACTCACGTCCCACCCAGATCTCATGAGCTCGTGCCATGGCCGTGTTGGACATCACACAGACCCTGACCTCCACGTGTTCCCGACCCCCGTGTCTTTCATGGGCCCTTCTTCATTGTCCCCTTGTGTTTCACAAAATTCCTTGAGTTGGCTGTGTGTTGGGCCCCAGGTGTGAGGAGCTGGGACCCCAGGAAACCTTCTGTCCACCTACGGACAGACAGACTCTCAGGCCCGTACTGTCCCGTGAGCTGCCACCCCTCCGTGTTCTCTTGTCTCTTCCTGTCTCTCCTTTGACCTCCATCCCCTGTGCAGGAAACTGCAAGCCTTTTCTCCTGGGGCCCAGGAAGGTTAGAGCAGACCCTGCCCAACGCCCCAGGAAACCCCAGCTGGACCAAGCAAGGGAAAAGCCCGAGTTTGGGGGACTTCCCAGGAAGCTGGAGGCACAGACTGAGAAGGGGGTGTCACCCCAGACCACTTGAGGGCAGCCAGTGGCCTCACTAGGACAGTGGAGATAAGCTCAGGGTTCTGCCGCCCCCAGGCTTCCCTGCCTTCCTGGTGATGCTGGTGGCCCTGGTGGATGTGAACAACTATGGGCCCATCATCCTGGCCGTGCACAGGACTCCGGAGAGCGTCATCTACCCGTCCATGTGAGTGACTGGGGTGGCTGGCGGGGGAGGGCTTTGGCTGCAGGGCACAGAGAAGAGACTCCTGGGCCCAGTGTGCTATAGGGATCGGTGGGCAGTGGCTAGAACCCTGGGCTAAGGGTCACTTGGGTGACAAAAGACCCGGACCAGGGTCCTGGCCCTTCTGTGAGCTGAGTTTCCTCATTGGTGGGTAACTTTGAATCTTAGCAAGAACCTGTCTCTAAATAAAATATTTTTTAAAAGGAATAGGAATAGGAATAGGAATATAGTTCAGTGTGGAGTCTCTGAGTTCTATCCCTAGTGCTGAGAGAGAGGGAGAGAGAGAGAAAGAGGGAGAAGCAAGAGCAAGGGAAATAAGAAATACTTGGCATGGTAGTGAGTAACCATGGCAACATGTGTGGTGACCACCATGGACTGGCGGCCCCAGCCCAGCCATGTCTGAGCCCTGGCGCCCTGGCCCACAGGTGCTGGATCCGGGACTCCCTGGTCAGCTACGTCACCAACCTCGGCCTCTTCAGCCTGGTGTTTCTGTTCAACCTGGCCATGCTGGGCACCATGGTGGTGCAGATCCTGCGGCTGCGCCCGCACACTCAGAAATGGCCGCATGTGCTGACGCTGCTGGGCCTCAGCCTGGTCCTTGGCCTGCCCTGGGCCTTGGTTTTCTTCTCCTTTGCCTCTGGCACTTTCCAGCTTGTCGTCCTCTACCTCTTCAGCATCATCACTTCCTTCCAAGGTAGGCATAGAGAAGGCGCCTAGCCTGGCAGCTTGCCAGTGTGGGCTGGGAGGAGAGGACCGGGGCACCTGAGGCTTCCCTGTCCAGGCGTCAGTCATGTACCATGTGCAGATCCTGTGCTAAGTCCGTGGGCTCCAGCTGCGTGAGGGCCTGGCTGTCACAGAGCTCAGCCCTTGTCAGGGAGGCTGAACCTGAACCACTAAACACACAGCCATCAAGGCCGCCTCAGGGAGAAGGGAGTTGGAGTGGGCAGTGCCGTGGGCGACGTTTGGGCTAGGGGGAAAGGCTTTAGGGAAGGTGGCCTGGGACCCACTGTGGTAGAAGACAGTTGAGGACAACAGGTGGAGCCTGCCACTAAGGGGCCCAGAGCCGCGTTACCCTGAGCAGGCTCCTGGACCAGATCAGCATCTCCAGGAGCTCGTTAGGCCCCTGCTGAGCCTGCTGACCAGATCTGCATTTTAGCAAGATGCCCAGGACATATGTGTGCACATCACAGCTGAGGCATCTGGGGTTTCAGGCAGAGCGCAGAGGCACAAGCAAAGGTCCTGAGGTTGGACGAGGCTGTGTTGGGAAAACAAGGAGGAAGAGCATGGCTGAGGGGCAGCTAGTGAGGGCCGGGGTGGAGGGTGGGGTCATGGGGCTCCCGGCTTGATGCCAATAGAGTCCAACCTGTGCACCTGTACCTCTCGGGTTCTTTCATCTTTGAGCCTCCTTTTCTTCCCTGTGAAAAGAAGGCACCCTTGAGAGTTATGGTAAAGCGCACACAGCCACCCACGCGGCACTGAGCCACTCCTCCAGTACAGGCAGGTCAAGCGGAGCTCACGGGGGTGGGCTCCAGAGCCTGAGCCTGCTCCCACCCCAGCTCAGCCAAGTCCCCTTCCCTGGGTCCGCAGGCCTCCGTTTCCTCACCTGTGAAGCAGAATCATAACAAACAGGACTAGGCTCGGAGGAGTCGGTAGAGACAGAGGCGAGGACCGGGGACCCAGCGCACTGCCTGGTGCCTGGAGGCAGCTTGTGTGGGAAAAGGCCGGGAGGGTGGTGACACGGGTGTGAGTCAAGGTGGCTCTGGGAGAGGCGAGGCAGGTGGGGCGGGTCACCCTGCACCTGCTGAGCCCTGCGCACCCCCACCGCTTCCCGCAGGCTTCCTCATCTTCCTCTGGTACTGGTCCATGCGGCTGCAGGCCCGGGGCGGCCCGTCCCCTCTGAAGAGCAACTCGGACAGCGCCAGGCTCCCCATCAACTCGGGCAGCACCTCTTCCAGCCGCATCTAGGTCACCAGCTCAGCTGCCCCGTGTGAGGATGTGGAGCTGACCACAATCCCCGGCCTGGTCCTGACTGAGAAGGCCGCGGACCCTGGAGGGATGGGCTGTTGCCCGGGTGACTAGACCTGACCTTGGGGACGACTCAGCTCCCAGATCTGACCCCCAAAGGGCTCAGGTGTGCACCACCACTCTGGCTGTGGGACTGTCCTGTCGCTACAGCAGTCGCAGCCTGGCGCTAAAGCCTTGTCTTTCCCGACCTCACTCCCTTGCTGGCGGTTGGGACCTGCAAGCCTCAGGGTCAGGCCTGGGGCATTGGAGACCTGGCACATCTTACCTCTGTGGCCTTGTCCAGGACAAAAATGTGGCTACAGCCGCTGTGTGCCTGGTGGTCACTGTGTAGGATCCTGCAGCCCCAGTCGTTCTAATCCCCGGGGGCACGTTGGGCAGATTGGGTGGGGAAGAGCCCCCAGGAAGAGGGGCCCCTGGAGCACAGCAGCATTCACCTATCTCTGCGCCCAGGCCCCTGTCCACCAGCTCCTAGGCTTCCCTCTTCCTTCCCTCCACTCCCTCCTTCCCTGCGGTCACCCTAGTCCTCTCCCAACACCGAGCTTTCCCGTTTGGGGCAGCGGTTCCCAAGAGCTGCCTGGTGCCTGCTATAAACTTTTGTCTACTGCCCAGGCCTGCACCTGTCCCTGGTTGGGCTCAGCATGGACACCTGGGCTGTGCTGGGTCCCTCTGTGGGGGCCTCTCTCCGAGCTGAGCCTCACCCTGATTTACACCTCAGAGAGGCCGTGGCCTCTGCCGAAGCCTTCCTGTGGCCAGAATTGTGGGACGTAGCAGTCTAGTCTTGTTCTTCTCCCAGCACTTGGAAGACTGAGGTGTCCTGTGGTGTCCTGAGGTCTCCTGGTCTGGACTTGACTCCCCTAAAGGATCATCTCTGAATCCTTGCAAGGGGCCCCAGACATGCTCACTGCCCGTCATGGTGAATTCTACCCAACAAACATACACTGGACAGTTACCAGCCTGTGCGAGGCGATAGGGACACAGATGACCAGATCTGGACACGCCTCTGACAAACTTTCAGCCTAACGTGTGAGCTCCAGGCATAGGTGGGGGGACCGCCATTCCTGGCTGGGAATCCAGAGAGACTCCCTGCAGGAGGTGGCATTAGATCTTGACCTCAGCCATGAAAATGGGGAGGATGTGTTTTTTAGTACTTACTCATTTGTCTTTTGATATGAAAAATAAGTACATGTCTGTTGTAGAGGTTTTGGAAACTGTAGAAGATTGTGAAGAAGAAAAATAAAAGTCAGCTCTTGTTATTGTCTAAGAAACCTGCGCCAACATTTTAGAGCAGTTTCTTCCAAGCTTCTCCTTGTGCTCTTATTGGAAGCCTTGCTGACCCAGGTGTCCTTGGGCCAATCAGGAAACAAGACAGGGAAGCAGGCCTGTGTGTGGGAAAGGCAGCTGCCGGGAACCTTTTAGCCTGTGCCACGGGAGAGGAGAAGAAAGGGTGAGGTGGTGTGGGCGTCACTTTGGGGTGACAAGGAGTGGGGTTTGTGGTGAAGTGCAGAGTATAGACCCCACAGGCAGGGTAGCTTGTCACTGCATGGTCGGGGGAGGCTCCATGAAGCCAGGCCACCTGCTTTTTCTGAGAAACACAGATGATGGTGTGAGAATCCATTGATTTGAAAGTGTTGGCAAATCTAAAACAGTCTGTGGCCAAAGAGATCACATTTGAGGGCTGGAGTCTTTCAGGGAAGGGCTGTAGGCAGGGTGGCCCTCCTGGTTCTGCCTGTCCATCCTGTGACCTTCCCAGCTGCTGGGGTCCTAGCAGGGAGGCTGGATGCTCTGGGTCCCTGGTATTGGCTCCCTGTGTGGACTGGACATTCTGGGCCTCTGGGTTCTGATCCGCTGCCCCTGCCATATCCTACCTGCCTCCCATAGCCTGTGAGTGGCACTGACATGTCTTTACCACCCGTCCCCAGGCCCAGAAGGGGAGATAGAGCCCAGCAGGGGCGTGGGAGCTGGTGACTTGCTAGCTAGACCCTGAGGTGGAGGCTGGCTCCAGCTGGTAGGTCTGAGGGGGATATTGGTGACCATGCACCTCCTCAGTGAGGTGCCCTTTACCTTCCAACCTCCTAGTGGCCGTGGGATGCAGCAAAGTCCTGGCCACATGCATTTTTTCTTGGGGGCCCCAGAGCTGGAGCCCAAGTTGGTGGTTGCACTCTTCCCCTTGACGAAGCTCATGTGTGTCTGCTGTCCCCACTTCCTGCCTGGAGGGCCAGCAGTGACCAACTGGGTAATTTCACAATACGGACCATCATCAAAGGACAGTGACAGCACCCACCCCTGTGGCACCCCGTGCATATTACCTTATGGTCCTTCCCCTGCTGGGTAAGAGCTTATACAGGGTCATCGGCCAGGAAGTGGCCAAAACAGACATCAGCTAGTGCTGATCATCCTCCAGGGCCCAGGCTCCTGGCCCTCCATCCTGCCTCTCTGTGCTTCCTGTTATCCAGTCTGGGGCAGGGTGCAGCTCCTCACTCTCTCTGGTCCCAGCAGGTATGGGCTTGAGTCTGGCTGTGTTCAAACCAGGTGTCATCCAAATCCTTGACCTCATCCTCATAGCCAGGCTGCGCCCGCTTGTTAAAGGTCATCTAATCCTGACACAGCCCTATGAGGCAGCCTGTCACTGTCGCTGGTCTATAGAGAAAAAGTTAAGGTCAGAGAGACTCCCTGCTCGGGAGAGGAGGTGGCTGTGGGAGGGTCCCTGGGGATTCAGCGGGGCTCCCTCTGCAGGCGGCCTGGGGGTGGGTGAGGCTCAGAGCGCCGCCCCATGCCTCACACTCCCTTTCACAATCCATCCGATGGCGCCACTGAGCAGGAAGAAAGAAGCCACAGGAAGAGGTGTGGGGAGAGCAGGGGGAAATCGGGCAGCTGGACAGAGCCCAGGACTGGAGGACCTGACAGCCACAGGGCTGTGTCTGCCACGGATGGAGACACCCAGGGGCCTGTGGGCCCTGCTCCTCCTGCTCCTGGCCGCAAGTAAGTGCTGGCTCCTTCGCCCTTCCTGCCAAGCCTGGGAGACCCTGTGCTACAGAGGGTCCCAGGGCAGGGTGCACAGAGACTCAAGGACAGGTAGGGGCAGGGTGGGAGGATGAGGAGCTGGGGAGTCTGGTGTGCGTCCTCTGAGGAGCTGGCCATGACCACCTCCACCCCTCCTCCAGCCTTGTTCCTCTAGGCCAGTCCTATCATCCTGATGAACCTGGTCAGCGTGTGTCTCAGTGCCCTGTGGACGGGAAGGTGGAAGAGGCTCTCCTCATCCAAGCTATGGCTCCTTGACAGGCCCGGGAGAGTGCCTGGGATAAGCTATTCCACTGGCCTCTGAGTTCCTGGGGCAGGGATTGGACTCTGGAAGCTGAGGCTGGACGGGGCTTGCAGCCACTCTACCCTGTCTCTCCCTGTCTCTCCGAGGCACCTCTGCCTCAGGGACACCGGCCAGGACCCAGAGCCTTTCGCCCTCCACCCTCCCGGACACACAGGGTCTCCAGAGGCGGCTGAAAGCTTGCCTTGCCCTTGCTGCTCTCTCTCCCAGGACAGCCACCCGCCGTCCCTCACCCTCTGGCCTGTCTTGGGGCTCTGTGGTCCCCTCCACGGTGTTCATTCACATCTAAGCTCCTTGTGGGCTCCTGTGGTTTGCTTAGCTTCAGCAAGTGGGCTGCATGTCTGTCTCCCTGGGTGTCTGTCCAGCACTTAGCCATGTGACATTGGCCACAGGGATAAACCTCTCTGGGCTTCAAAGAACTCTCTTCCAATCCTGGGCCATTTGGTGATGGGAGAAGTTCAGTCTCTGGCTCAAAACAGTGAAAAATAGAGGTGCTGTCCAAGGAGCTGGAAGGTCCTGGTACAGGCTGTCGGCAGCCCTGGATGGACTGATTAACTGAATCACTGATGGTGTCCCAGGGGCCTTTGGGCATTCACAAGGGCTGTTTCTCACTGGTTGGGCTTTCAAGGCCCTAAGACATGGTAGGCACATGAAGCCTGGTGGGTTCTCATCTAGAGGTGGACCCTGCTGTTGTGGGTGTTGCGGGTGTTTGTGCCCATTTGCCTGTCCACTCACCCACACGTTCCTTCCCCCATTCACCCCCTCGTTCCTTATTCATTCCTTTGAGAAGCCAGCAAGCTGTCCTCAGTGCTGTGCCAGGCCCTGTGTTGGCACTCCACCAGGCTGGGTTTGAGGAGTGCCTGAAGCTGAGATGAGGCATTTAACCTACCCTAACTGTAGAATGTTGGAGGTTCCCTGACTCCTACTGTGGAAAAAGAATTTTCAGAACTCGTCAGTAAGAGGCATGGGGAGGGTTGATTAGGCAGAGATTTTAGTCTTCACTCAAGAAATAGAGTTCTGGCCTTCAAGAGAGAAAGGCACATTATGAGTTGGAGCTGAGCATATTTCTGGGGCCCTGGGGATGTCTTCAAGATGGGTGACCTAGGATGTGAACTCCTGCTCTGTCAGGTTCCCCCTCTGGCAGGCCCTGTCAGAGTACAAGCCCTCTTCCGTGTTTGAGGTTGAGCTCTGCTGCCCACTAAAACTGCTTCTCCTGTGAGGGCCGAGGCAGAGCCATCTACAGGTGAAAGGGACAGGTCCAGAGCCCAGTTTACAGGTTTACTGTGTCTCTAAGATCTTTAGGAACTGTTTTTAAAAATGAGTTTCCTGGAAGGGGAAAAGGCTTGTGAGTAACTTTTGTGGGCTAAAGCTATAGCTTTTCTTACAAGTACAGTGCAATGTTTAAATTTCGATTTCCTTGTCTCCCGTCTACCTGTCTTATTTCTTCCATCCTACCTCAGTACTACCCCTGAGGGCTGCCAGTCTAGCGGAGTGACAGGTGCTTCAGCCCTGGGGAGGGGTGGGGATCAGAATTTGGGGACTGGGCTGTTGGAACCGTGCAGGGGACAGACATATGCTCCCGCAGGTGTGGAGCTCTCCTAATGGGACACTTTACAAGCTGGTGGGCACAGGGTCATGTGCCTGTAACCCCAGCACTCTGGGAGGCTGAGGCAGGGGGATCAACTCCAGCCCAGCCCATGCAACTTAGTTTTATGATTTAGAGAGATCCTGTCTCAAAAATTTCAAAAATAAGTAAATAAATAACATGGCCTGGGGATGTAGCTCAGTGCAAAGGCCCTGAGCTTAATCCCCATTGCCACCATAAAAAGGTGAGGGACACTTTACAAAGGTGTGTGTGGGGGGGAAGAAACGGTAACACACACACACACACACACACACACACACACACACACACACACGTTTGCCTGCAGGAAGATCTCAGCACTCTGAGGCCAAGGGGTAAGGGAGGGCCTCCAAAGGAGGGAAAGTGGCCTTGGGTCTGTGTGGAAGAGGGGTTGGCAAGGGCCCACCCAGTCCACCTCCAGCCCTCTGGCTCAGGCCCACTGTCTTCAGCGGAGGGGGGTGCTGAGGAGGCAGAGCGGGTGGGGCCGGAGTGAGACTCAGCATGGGTGAGGCTCGCGAGTACGAGGTGTGAGGGGCCTCTTCCCACGCTCGGGCCTGGCTCTGGTTCTGCAATCTTCTGTGCTTCTCTGCGCTGGGTTCTTGCCCAGAACTTCCTGTCGGTGAGTTGTGAAATGCAGGGCAGGATGGGAGGACAGCAGGACAGGAGGACACGAGGGAAGCTCTGTTCTCAGCCACCTCTGTGCCCTGCACTGTCCCTAACCCCTGGGGCAGACAGATGCAGCTGCCTCGAGGTGACAACTTCCCCCCTCTCTCCTCCCCTCCCTCTTCCTCCTTTGTCTTTCCTCCTCCTCTCCACCTCTCTCCCTTTTACTTAAAATGCAAACACACTCCCACCACAGGCCCTCCTGGAGCATCTACCTTTCCCTCTTAAGCTGAGCATCATACAAGCTAGGGGAAGTGTAAAGTTCCTCTATCTGCTAATAAAAATAAGAGTGTCACGTGTAGATCTGATTATCATAAAATCTACTCTAAAATGTTATTTTTTACCTGACCTTTCTTCTAATTTTGTTTTGCCATGACTTTTAACGTGTGTTTTATTTTTACCTTAATAGTTCAAAATTTAGTAGTTTCTCTTAAATGGAAAGTACCACTGTGCTTTTTAAAATCTTTTTTTTAACCTCAAACACCAGAGAAGGGCATTAAGAGATGGACAGCACCCCAACAGTTCCTGCTGGGGCTGCCAGGTGCCCACACTTGTAATCCCAGCTACTCAGGAGGCTAAAGCCAAAGGATTGTGGGTGTGAGCCCAGCCTGTGCAAAGGCCCTGGTCCAGTCCCCAGTATCGACACAAAGAAACAAGAA